CCAACAGCATCTGGATGACTATGTATTGCCCATCCCTATTGTTAGGGGAGAGCTAAACTCAAAGAAATACAGTAGGACCCCTGTATCTGTGGGGGATTGGTTCCCAGCCCCCCGTGGATGCTATAAACCATGGATAATAGCCAACACTATACATATAGCATAGTAAAAAGTCCAGAAAAAGTAATTTCATTGTGTATTACCAGAATTGACCAACAGGAAGAATACATAGCATGGTCTCTGGCTCCCTCTGGTGGCAAGGTTTAGTAAATACATCATGAAAACATGTATTTCTACTAGTAAACACATGAAAATGTATTTCTACCTTTTTTTCTTTTAACATTTGTAGTATTTTCAGACCACAGATAAGTGAAACTGCAGATACTGATCCTGCAGATACAGGGGTCCTGCTGTCATCCCAACCAATGTGTTCTCTTTGCAAAGCCCTGGAGAGGTTTCTCATCAAACTTCAGGCCTTCTCCCTTGGCCTATTTTTGGCATTCCAGGCTTGTCTTTCCTCCTGTTGCTTTCTAGATCTTAGACGCGGCGTTGCTCGTGAATTGAGATTGCCCTAATACTCCCGCCGACATTTATTGCAAAAAAGTCTCTTCCTTCCAGATGCACATGTTCATTGCCCGTTACTGTGACCTCCTTCACGTGGACATCTCGTGCGACGGGTGTGATGAAATCGCTCCGTGGCATCGTTACCGCTGCTTGCAGTGCAACGACATGGATCTTTGCAAAACCTGTTTTTTGGGTAAGTTGGGTTGCCCAAAGCCGCATCGCTTCTTTCATATATTTTCTGTTTCCCCTTATAGAAATTGAGATTTTTAATTTTAATTTTTAAAGGTGAAACCTCAGAGAGAGAGAGAGAGTTTTGCTTCACGATCTTCCATGCCAGCTTCCTAAACCTTAAAATGCATGATATGATTCACACAGGGCAAAGGATGAGAGTCCCAAAACTTGCTACAGCCATTTCCCGTTCTTTTTTCTTCGTCCCCCACTTCCTGAAACGGAAGACAAGGGATTTCTTGGCTGCTCAGTGCGTAGGAGAGGCAAATTTAAAACTAGCCGGTTGTCCGGTAGGGTACTTCTGCTCGGTCCTACTGCTTCCCCCAAAATTGACAATCCTCCCTTAATCAATTATCTGTGCACCCAAAAATGTGCTCTGGACAGCTAGGGAAAGAAATCCCTGGACCAGTTTAGTACCGCCCGAGGAGAGCTACACAAATAACAGAAGTCCCCACCCAGTGTTAGGATGCCGAAGTATGCAAGCTACAGATTTGTAACTTTTGTTTTTTTTTAAAAAAAATCTTATTTATATCTTAATATGCATTTCATTTTTTAAAAATGGGATATTCAATACCATGTTCTTTTATTTGCCATGAGCTGTCTCGGGTCACCTCTGGGCAGATTGTAAATCATAGGAACGAATTGGTGAGTGAATGGATGAAGCCGCCCATGAATCAATCCATGTAGGTAGTTGGATCTTGGTTGTGGGCGGCTGCAAGGCCACGTTCCTCTCCAGTCTTTGATACCGGAGTATAAATAGCATCTCTTTAGTCAGCAACAGAATGTTTTGAAATGCAAAGTACAAGGCCGGCATTTAGTGAGTTTATTTTTTCCAGACACCCTGAACCGGCTGCTGTTTTGACAAAGAAATGTGATTAAACATGGCCCGTCTGCCGGGGCCGCTCTTTGGCGCAGGAATGGCTTCTCCTGCCCAAAGACGGGGTGGGAGCACCTCTGTGCCACAGGAAGACTTGGGGTCTGCAGTCAACAGAGAGAGAGAGAGAGAGAGAATGAATTTGTGTTGCTCTCCAAGGATTTAAACCCCAGTCTCCTGATATACTCAAGGTTTAGAGAAGCAGAGAAATCAAGCTGTACGCATTTAGCTCGCACAGCCTTTCTGCGATGAGAGTGAAACAGAGAGAGAGAAAGAGAGACACCCAGGCTGTGTCCGGTGCCCTTGATGATGTGGCATTGATTGGAGGACATTTTGCCTCCCCTGCGCAGGGGGCGTGAGACCCGAAGGCCACGAGGCCAGCCACGACATGGTGAACATGGAGTACACGTGCAGCGGCTGCCGAGGCGTGATCGTCGGCCAGCGCGTGAGCTGCGCCGAGTGCGAGGACTTGGACCTCTGCTTCGGGTGTTACTCGGCGAAGAAGCACTCAGACAGGTGCAGCTGCCCTTCCGTTCGTCTCCGCTGGCTGGGACTGAAAAAAAGGGGGCTTGTTCCATGGGGGGGAGGAGGTGTGTGTGTGGGGGGGTCATTAAAAATAGGGTGGTTGCTCAGAGACCTCCAAAGGTCCTCCTCCTCCCAAACCACACTGGGTCCGTCATGCTTGTGGTGCCGGATTGGGACCCACCCATAGCAGGCGGGCTGGCCTCTTCCATCCATTACTGCTCTAATAGGACTGGGGGGAGTATTCTGTAGAGAAAGAGGCAATGCCATGGAGGAGTAGCAGGCTCAGCTTTGGATGTCAGGCAAGAGAGGAAATAGAGGTCCTCCCGGCTCCCGGAGCGGTGGGAAGATCTGTAGCCAGCAGGCCTGCCTCGCCAAGCTAGCGAGGGCTGCTGGCTGGAAGTGACGCCGTCCCGGTGCATGGGCTGGGGAAATTCAGAGGTGGTCTGTGTGAGGTTCCTGTCGAGATTGGGGTGACGGGAAGGGTGGGAAGGGAAGAGTTCCTGCCAAACTGGTGTGGCATTTTCTGAGCAGCTGGAGCCAAGGTAGAGGAGACCGACCCGGTTATTATGACGGGACTGGATTCAGTTCTTCCACCCTTGGCAGGCCAGCAGGTTAGCCAGCAGTCTCCGTCCCTCTGGGGTGTAGACTTCGCTTAGCCGTGGCCCTCCGGGAGCTTCCAATCAGGCTTTGCATGCAACGCCTTCAAACAGTGGGGGCGAGACTTTTCTCTGACCTGCTGTAGCCTCGGCGGAGTTCACGATCTTGCCAAGGGTGGCCTGTTTGCGTGCCTGGTCCTTCTGAAGCCGGTGAGGCTTTCCGGTCCTTTGGCCGGGCATCCTTGGCAGAGGTGGGGTTTGCCACAGCTGCCGGGGGGGACGACGATGATGGGGGGGACGGCAGATATTTGAAGGAGTGGTTTCCCCCTAGTTGGATGGATGGATGGATGGATGGAATTTGACTAGGCCCCTCGGTTTCCTTACCTAAGACTCTTGCTTGTTCCTTCCTGGGGTCTGGCAGGGTGCAACTGAGTGTCCTTGCTCTGTCGGTAGAGTGTCCGTGCCCAGATCGCCGGATCCTACCAGAATCCAAGCGCACCTTGTGGTTGGGCGCAGGTCCCGCCCCTCCTCTTCCAGGCCCTTTGCCCTTCTAATGGGAAGCCTCCCTCCGTCCCTCCCTTTTCAGCCACCTGCCCACCCACAGCGTCACCGTGCACCCCATGACGACCTTCCGGATCAGCGACCGCCACCGGCTCATCCAGCCGTACCTCCACAACTACTCCTGGCTGCTCTTCTCCGCCCTGGCTCTGTACAGCGCCGACTTGTCGAGCGGCGAACCGGCGGACGGAGAGCCTCCCGACCGGCAAGTCCTCGACCATGCCAGAGCCCTCCAGCAGGAGTACGTCCACATCATCGGAGATTGCTTGGTGAAAGTGCAGCACGGCAAAGGTAAACCCGGGGTGGCTTGAAACCTGGGACTGAGCATCGGGGGCGGGGTCGTTCTCCCTCCTGGCACCGACCCTGCATCCCTGCTGATCAAACGGCCTTTTTGGTTCTGAATCTTGTTTTCGAATCCTCCAGTCCAGGAGTACATCAGTTGCACTTCCCCCTGTTGCTCACTTGCGTGAGACTTGGTTCAGGCTGCACAGTGTGGGGGGTGTATGTGTCTTCCTTAGTGTGTTTCTCGCACCTTTAATTATAGGTGAGGAGAGCCTTCCTCGTTGTAACTTAAAAGAGAGATATCCATATATGTTAGAATATAGAGATTCTGTAAATATGCAGGACAACCTCAGTATCAGCGGGGGGGCCATGGGGAACATTCACCAAACTTGGCTCATATTTTGGGGGCCCGGATCTTTTCCCCTTCAGCCCTTTCTCACTCCTAGAAGGCAGCCCTCCTCCAAAACCTCCTCTGAAATGTAATTTAGTTTTCCGGCTTGAAAATTTTCCTGCCTTTTGGAGCAACCGAGGAGGGTGGAACCAGCAGACGAGGCTGGCCGGGGTGAAGTCCACCTATCTGCGTGTTGGGATTTGGGTCTATCCTGTTTTCTAACTTAGTGTTGCTTTCCTATCTGTGCAAAACTTTGCTTTCTGATATTTGCATTTTCAGCATGTCATTATCCTCAGGCTGTCTCTGTCTCTCTCTCTCCCCTCCTTCCAACTCCCAAGTCATGTGTACACGTAGACTTTCTTTCGTCCATATCCCACTTTTCAACCTCTTCGCTTCCTTCTCTCGCGTCCAGGTTCAAAAACCCTCGGCCTCCTCTCCATGCTGCCGGGAGGCGAACCTCTGTCCGAAAGTGTGACGCCCTCTGTTGATTCTTCCATAGAGAGTGACCTCCGAAATTCTGCTGCTAAGAAGGCCGTGGAAAGTAGCAAGATGACGCCCGCATCTTTCAGCCATTGCAATGTAAATATGTTCTACAGATCGGCTTCTCGTTCCTTCCTCCTTGGGTGGGTGTGGGTCCTCGTGCGTAGTTATCCACCTGAATTATAAGCATCAGCTGCGTTGTTATAAAATGATAGCTGGAGCTGCGAAGGATCTCGACTCTTCTCTCCATAACGGGAAGATGCTTCCGTTTAGGCCAGGATCATCTCCACTGGTCTGTGGCCCTTCCGATAGATCCTGCCCTGTCCCGATCTGGAAACTCCTGCTATAAGCTCTGGTGATCTCCAACTTGAATAGGACTCAAGTTCAACCACGCTTAGCTTCTTGGATCCAGTGTGCTCGGGAGGAGGGGGAGAGGGAGTACGGGGGGGGGGCTTCCTGTTCAAATTGCTTCTCAGCCACTACCTTAAAGAAGGCACTCTTCTCTCAGTCTCATAATCATCAGGTTGTTGTAAATATGACAGTGCATTGAAAGTTGCCGTAAGTGAATACCCCACATGGACTCAGAAGCCACCCTCGTGTCTCTCTGCCCGTCTCCCCCAAAGTGGTTTTCTCAGTCCAGTCGTAAATATAGTAGGACCCAACTATGTGATCCATCGTGTCACTTACCTGTGGTCTGAAAATATGAAAAATATTAGGAAAAAAAAGTACAGATTTCCACAATATAATTAATAGGACTGGCCACTAGAGGGAGCCAAGACCATACTACCGTGTTTCCCCGAAAATAAGACAGGGTCTTAGATTAATGTTTGCTCCAAAAACACATTAGGGCTTATTTTCAGGGGATGTTTTATTTTTATTTTTTAACATACAACCATCTACATTTATTTAAATACAGTCATGTCATCTTCTGGTTGCTGCACAAGGGTGGAAGGTGGGGTTTTACCTAACTAGCAGTGGCATCGAGGCCGAGGGTGTTTTAAGACAGATGCCGAGAAGGGTCCTCTTACCGTGGGATTCACCTCTCGGAAAGGCCACCCTACACGGGAGCGGTGGGAACTACGTTGGTATCAGCAAGAAATTCAATCCGAGGCTATCCAAGAGATGGCCGTAGCTTGGAAGTACCTCTTTTGCAAAGTCAGACTTCCTGATCTTCTTTTTTTAACTAGGGTAGCAGAAACGCAAGTCGCATTCAGGCCTCTGGGCCCCTGAAACGAGAGCCCAAAATGAAGGCCGCGAGCAAGGCCTCCAACGGCCTTCCTCTGGTGAAGAAGCCAAAGCTACAGGAAAGAGAGGCAGTTGCTGCAAACTCAGACTTGGTTACAAAAGGTAAGGTGAAGATTTCTCCTGAGGTCAGACATGCAGTGGGACCCCTGTATCCACAGGTTCGGTATCCGCGCTTTTGCTTATCCACGGTCTGAAAATGTTAAAAGAAGAGAGAGAGAAAAACTAGAAATATGTGTGGCTTCATGATGTGTTTACCAAAACTGGCCCCTAGGGGAAACCAGAGACCATGCTGTTTTTAGCGTTAGCTATAATCCACATTTTTCTGCATCAACCGGGGGGGGGGGGGG